CCTCACGACACGCCTGAAAGTTTCTCTTTCCTTAGCCAGCTCACCACTCCCATGTGTTTTCACTACCAATACATCTTCATTGTCTCATATCTATCTTCATGGAGGTCGACCCCTCTCTCGCTTTCCACAAACTGCACTTCCCATGACCGTGTTTTCCAAGCCATCATGACTCTTAAGGACTGGTTAGGAATATATTTTTAAAATGTCAGCTGGGGTGGAAGGGGGGGGGGTGAGGTGGGGGGGGGGTGTGCTGCGTGGGCTCCGTTCTTCTTCTAACTCAAGTCCGAGTCCGAAGAAGCTTAGCACAGTGCACAGACTCTGTTGTACCGGCAAGGATCCTGAAATACTTTAGGTAGATTTTTAACTCAAAATTTTGCCCGAGCAGCGCCTTTAGCCTACTCTTTTCGATTTCTAACTGCCAAGGGATTCTTTTTTAACGTTGCGCAACAATGCACACGGGAGTCTGATTTCACTACCCGGAGACCAGGGGAAAAAACTAAAAGTCCAAGTACACGTGAAAGAATCCCAGCCCTTCCAGGGATTGAACCCGTAACTTCTAGCACTGGAGGCGGGCACCATGCCTTGAAACCACGCAGCTCCACAAGATCTGGATGTTATATGGTTAAGCGTCTATGCTACAAAGAGAAATTTTACAACATACCTCAAGCTCTGTGTAAGTTGAGTCAAGAATTGACACCACAACATTCAGGGGATCCCATGCATGCTCCGTCCTCATCCTCAGCAGCCAGCGCAAAGCTCCAATACTGATGGTACCGGTCACAATCTGGTTATGTGTCCGTCTTGCCCTTCCTCTGAGTTTAGTGAGCCGGCGAGACCCTCTGGTTACACCTACGTGCCTCATTCTTCCCAGGCCATAATAATCTTGTTTCTCTAATGATTTCGTTGCTTGTTCCCAAAGTGCCTTGACCACATCTGCCTTGTCATGTATCAAAAGTAGATTATAAAGGATAACAATAGTTTTGAACGGATGCCTAGAAAATTACAGTTATACATGTAATTTGTAACGTTGATCTATGCAGGACTCAACACTGCTCGTCTGGAGCGCAAATGTGCGATGGTTTTGAGTGTTTTTGACTGTAGTGGACTCCCGTACACGGACAATGACGTCACCATAGACGCCCGGATCTACTACCAAGGAAAAGAAATCAAGTCGGTTTGGTCACATTTCTTCTTCTTCTTCTTCTTCTTCTTCTTCTTTCTTCTTCTTCTTCTTCTTCTTCTTCTTCTTCTTCTTTTTCTTCTTCTTCTTCTTCTTCTTCTTCTTTTTCTTCTTCTTCTTCTTCTTCTTCTTCTTCTTCTTCTTCTTCTTCTTCTTCTTCTTCTTCTTCTTCTTCTTCTTTTCGTTTACCGGTTGTAAACTTCGGAGAAAAGTTCTGGTTGTTCGTCCACACCCGCACCCCAGTAATATACCGAAGCTGGGTGTTGCGTGCTTATCCGTTTTACAGATCTGACTAACCTGTATAAAGACTGTTATACCAAACATTGCCCCAGCATGGGACGCAATATTTTGTTATTTTAAAGCTCCACCCCGGTTAATTGTCCGGAGGCACAGATATATCCTAACGGTTGATCAGGGCTTCTGGGACTTGTGGCCATGTGATTCTCATCAGAATGATGATACTTTGTGTCATCAGGTGTTTATCGTTTACTGTACGGTCCTGGTGGGGGTCACTCACTCACCGACAGACTATTGGTTCCTTGCCTCCCAGGCAGATGCCTTCCGACTTCGAAGGAAGCTTCCAAAATAGTCCACTTGTACAACATTGCTTTTGGGGAGGCAGGGGATCTATTCTTGTTTTCCTCACAGTGGGGTCCCACCCCATAGTGTGGTCCCGGACTCACAAGTAGTTCTGCATCTCAACACCCTTATATTTCTATATGTAGCACAAGTGTATAATATCCAATGTTTAAGCATTGTTCCAATATAACCTTTACTCTCGGTGGCTCAGATGATTTAAAGAAGTTAACTCCGTGGCTTTATGAATTCATGAAAGAAAAACCATTTCCACTCGAGTTAGAGGCATTTTTGGGAGGTTAACAGCCCGATTTGGCATTAACAGAAAACTAGTTTAGTGTTAGATATGAATGCTCTGTGAAAGGATCAAGTCCTAACATAACGTTTATGTTACTAACATAACAACAAATGCTCAGGAAGAGCACGTTTATATATAGTTAGACCCCCGTGTGGGTTCCAGGGTCCTACTATGGGAAAAACAAGAATAGACCTACTGCCTATCCAAAAGCATGTCGTAAGAGTCGACTAATTGGGAGCTTCATTCGAAGTCGGAGTGCATCTGCCTGAGAGGCAAGGAACCAACAGTCTGCATACAGATATGTCAAATGGATGCATACGCAACCCTCAGGTTCCGGGACAGGACTGCAGTCCAGAAGTGGACGAACAACCAGAACTTTCCGCCGTAGTTTACAGCCGGTGAACGCAAAGAAGAAGAAGAAGAAGAAGAAGAAGAAGAAGAAGAAGAAGAAGACATAGCTAGAGGGACCAATTAGACTTAATATGGCAACAGCCGCGATTTCGAAGCTGAATGCGATAAGGAAGTGCAAAATCAGCAGGTGTGAGAGTTTGACTCTCAATGTGGAAATGAAAGAAGGATTCGGGCTTTCGAATGTAAATGCTACAGACGCAATTTATGAATTAGTTATTTAGAACACAAAACTAATAAATATGTCAAAGACAAAATATACAAATCTGCGGCACCCCAGAAGCCTCTCTTGGTAGTGGTGAAACGTCGCAAGCTAGCGTGGTTTGGGCACGTGGTGAGACATGATTTGATTGCAAAGAATACTTTAAAGAAGAACCTGCAATGACAACATTAAGAAATGGACAGGACTAAGTTATCATACACTTATTCATCAAACAGAAGAGAAAGATGGTGGGTTTTATGTGCTAGTGCTTCCATCAATACACCTCCACGACTCTAATGGGTCAAGGGTTATGTTAGGTTATGACCCGTACAAGCTGTCTAAGGCGTGGGCGTTCATCTCAACTAATAATCACTAGGGGCTGAGCGTCTCTTAAACATTGGGAGGGGTGGGGGCTGAACGTGACTTAACCCCTAGGGTTCTAGCATGTATGTTGGTCACCTCGGGGCAGACAAAGAACAAATGAAGGTTAAACATTTACAAACTAATGCTGGCGCAGACTTGAAGGATTTACATAGTGTGACTAAATGCTAAAGTTGAGCTTTGGGAGAGAACTAAACAAGTTCCACAGAGAAAGCCTGAGAACAATATAACTGGAATGTCCTAACACTGGAGCTCAGGAGAAGAAGAAGAATATTGTGTGTGTGCGCGCGCGCGCGTGTGCGTGTGTGTGTGACGTGTTCTGTGCCTGGTGTTGTGTGAATGTCAGATGTGGTGTGTGTGTATGTGTGAGGTGTCATGTTTATGTGATCGATTATGTCATAATATGTGTCTATCTATCTATCATTGACACTGCCATCCTCGTACCCCTCCACCCCACCACCGCCACACCGCCACTACCTGAACCCAGTGTGCCCATCAACATGGCTCACCTGACAGGTGGGGCCCACCAGATCTCCTTCACCCCGCTGTACCAGGGGACCCACTTCCTGCACGTGGGGGTCAACGGTTGCTCTGTCCAGGTGGGTGGTCTCTGTTGTTGTTTCTGATGCTGTTGTTGTTGTCGCTGTTTTTGTTGTTGCTGTTGTTGTTGTCGATGTTGCTGTTGTTGCTACTGCTGCTACTGCTGCTGTTGTTGCTGTTGTCGTTGTTTTCGCTGTTGTTGTCGCTGTTGTTGCTGTTGTTATTGTTGTTGTTGTTGCTGTTGTTGTTGTCACTGCTGTTGTTTTTGCTGCTGCTGTTGTTGTCGCTGTTGTTGTTGTTGCTGCTGTTGTTGTTGCTGCCGCTGTTGTTATTGTTGCTGCTGCTGTTGTATGTCATGTAACCATGATGTTAACACAATACCCAGCAGCTCACCACGAGTTTGTTGGTTTCAACAAACATAATACGTCAGCTGCGTATCCTTTACAGCACGTTGCAGAACCAGCCCCATCATGTTTTTGCAGTCTGTGATTTCTCTAGGCAATTTTAAGTCCAGCAGTTTGTCACTGCCATGAACGATCGGCTCTCGATATTACTGTTGAAACCCACACAAGGCGGTCTGCTCCCAACTGGCCACAAGTTGGGATCGAACCCGGCACAACGCAGTTAAAAAGCGCGTTTGCAACACCTAAGCCAGTGAGGCCTACAAAACCTGATATACCAGCTCGAAACCCATTCAGATATTCCACAACCCACTCTGTCCCAGTTCTTGCTTTAACTACTGTTTTTTCCCACACTATCGACGTCACTGCACAGTGGGTATTCCCATGCGTGCTCAGTCCTCCGAAGCAGCAGCCACTTGAACGTACTTCTTTTGATTGTTCCCAAGGGGAGTTAGTTATAACTTCTCCTATTTCGGCCTCAAAAGCGGCATACAAATGCCTCACCGTGCTTGACTCCTAGGTCACGAAATCGTGTTAGTGTCAGAGATTTATCATTATCAACTAGCTTAGCTCACGCAGCATTTTCGGAAGCAACTTCAGTTCCTGTTCCTTGGTGCTGTTTTTTGATTTGTTTGATCTCCTCACACCCAAATAGTGTACGTTTAAAGTAGCATCTCCCTAAAGCAACATAAGAGATAGCTGCACTACCGGGTTCTGACAGTCAAATAGTGGCATAGTTAGAATACAGCTGGGAGTAGCACTGCCGGGTTCTGACAGTCAAATAGTAGCGTAGTAAGAATACAGCTGGGAGTAGCACTGCCGGGTTCTGACAGTCAAATAGTGGCAGAGTTAGAATACAGCTGGGAGTAGCACTGCCGGGTTCTGACAGTCAAATAGTAGCGTAGTAAGAATACAGCTGGGAGTAGCACTGCCGGGTTCTGACAGTCAAATAGTAGCGTAGTAAGAATACAGCTGGGAGTAGCACTGCCGGGTTCTGACAGTCAAATAGTAGCATAGTTAGAATACAGCTGGGAGTAGCACTGCCGGGTTCTGACAGTCAAATAGTAGCGTAGTAAGAATACAGCTGGGAGTAGCACTGCCGGGTTCTGACAGTCAAATAGTAGCATAGTTAGAAAACAGCTGGGAGTCGCCGTGGTTGTAGCACTACCGGGTTCTGACAGTCAAATAGTAGCAGAGTTAGAATACAGCTGGGAGTAGCACTGCCGGGTTCTGACAGTCAAATAGTAGCGTAGTAAGAATACAGCTGGGAGTAGCACTGCCGGGTTCTGACAGTCAAATAGTAGCGTAGTAAGAATACAGCTGGGAGTAGCACTGCCGGGTTCTGACAGTCAAATAGTAGCGTAGTAAGAATACAGCTGGGAGTAGCACTGCCGGGTTCTGACAGTCAAATAGTAGCATAGTTAGAATACAGCTGGGAGTCGCTGTGGTTATAGCACTGCCGGGTTCTGACAGTCAAATAGTAGCATAGTTAGAATACAGCTGGGAGTCGCCGTGGTTGTAGCACTGCCGGGTTCTGACAGTCAAATAGTAGCATAGTTAGAATACAGCTGGGAGTCGCCGTGGTTGTAGCACTGCCGGGTTCTGACAGTCAAATAGTAGCAGAGTTAGTACAGAATACAGCTGGGAGTAGCACTGCCGGGTTCTGACAGTCAAATAGTAGCGTAGTAAGAATACAGCTGGGAGTAGCACTGCCGGGTTCTGACAGTCAAATAGTAGCGTAGTAAGAATACAGCTGGGAGTAGCACTGCCGGGTTCTGACAGTCAAATAGTAGCGTAGTAAGAATACAGCTGGGAGTAGCACTGCCGGGTTCTGACAGTCAAATAGTAGCGTAGTAAGAAATACTGGGCTGGGAGTAGCACTGCCGGGTTCTGACAGTCAAATAGTAGCGTAGTAACAATACAGCTGTGGAGTAGCACTGCCGGGTTCTGACAGTCAAATAGTAGCATAGTTAGAAAACAGCTGGGAGTCGCCCGTGGTTGTAGCACTACCGGGTTTTTGACAGTCAAATAGTAGCGTAGTAATAAAAACAGCTGGGAGTAGCACTGCCGGGTTCTGACAGTCAAATAGTAGCGTAGTAAGAATACAGCTGGGAGTAGCACTGCCGGGTTCTGACAGTCAAATAGTAGCGTAGTAAGAATACAGCTGGGAGTAGCACTGCCGGGTTCTGACAGTCAAATAGTAGCGTAGTAAGAATACAGCTGGGAGTAGCACTGCCGGGTTCTGACAGTCAAATAGTAGCATAGTTAGAAAACAGCTGGGAGTCGCCGTGGTTGTAGCACTGCCGGGTTCTGACAGTCAAATAGTAGCATAGTTAGAAAACAGCTGGGAGTCGCCGTGGTTGTAGCACTGCCGGGTTCTGACAGTCAAATAGTAGCATAGTTAGAATACAGCTGGGAGTCGCCATGGTTGTAGCACTGCCGGGTTCTGACAGTCAAATAGTAGCATAGTTAAAATACAGCTGGGAGTCGCCGTGGTTGTAGCACTGCCGGGTTCTGACAGTCAAATAGTAGCATAGTTAGAAAACAGCTGGGAGTCGCCGTGGTTGTAGCACTGCCGGGTTCTGACAGTCAAATATTAGCATAGTTAGAATACAGCTGGGAGTCGCCATGGTTGTAGCACTGCCGGGTTCTGACAGTCAAATAGTAGCATAGTTAGAATACAGCTGGGAGTCGCCGTGGTTGTAGCACTGCCGGGTTCTGACAGTCAAATAGTAGCAGAGTTAGAATACAGCTGGGAGTCGCCGTGGTTGTAGCCTCTAGACACTCGCCTGCGGATCGGAAGGTCGTGGGATTGGGTCCTGATGGAGACGGACTTTCTTCAAACATGACCTTATCTCCCATGTCGACCCGGTCTTCAGTGGGTACCAGATACAGTCCTGGGAAGTACAAGCGGCCTGTGGGATGGTGACCACATAACTCACCAAGTGTCGATTGGTCTATATCTATAAAATATTGGTCTGGTAATCTTAGTTTCAGCTTCATAGCAAGCTTAGGCTTTTGAATAAAGAGTAACTAACTAACAAAAGACAAGCTATGTCAGACACGTGAGGCTATATGTCTGGTCTGGTAGCCTTAGTTTCAGCTTCATGGCAAACGGGTCACCCCATCTTTGCTCCGCTCCTGTGAAAACGAAAAACACACAGAATGTTTATCACAGTCCCTTGTGAAAAGACTGACAGACTGCTGTCTCAGCATATCTAGCATACGCATTAAAAACATACGGTAGCCATCCGAAGTACTAACACAAACAGTCCGACATTAGAAATGCAGTATATCATGGATGGTAGCAGTAGTGACTAGTAGAAGTCACCGACAGATCAGCAGCTGCACACGCAATCAATTTTAATCACATAAGGGCACCACCAATATTGCGATAACAGGCCACGGGCCATTTTCTGAATTTACAATTCACAACACCACGTTGATCAAAGTCGAAAATCATTCCAAATGAAATCCGCAGCTCACAGGGTCACACCATGCACTCAAATCAGTAGTTGAGCGATAAAACTATATCCTTTCAGTCTACAAATGAAGCAAACATGCAACGGCCACCGTCTGGCAGAAGCAAAAACTTTGGCATGACTGAAAACAGTGACCTTGTCCAGCGTCCATGTTGACCGGAAGCTAGGATTCGCCGTGGTTGTAGCCTCTAGACGCCGGCCTGCGGATTGGAAGGTCGTGGGGCGGGTCCTGACGAAGACTGATTTTTTTTTCTCCAAAACATGACCTTGGTTTCCAAGTCGACCCAGTCTTGAGTGGGTACCAGATGCAGTCCTGAGAAGTAAAGGCAACCAGTGGGATGGTGACCATTTAACGCACCAAGTGCTGATTGATCTATAAAATTTAGGTCTAGCCCTGTAGGCCCAATATGCCTATATCGTGTAACAGTGTCTTTCACTTTTTACTTTTAGTCTTAGTCTTAGTCCAGGATAGTCCAGCATATGATACCACAACATCCAGCTTAAGAATGGAGGTGGAGGCGGTCACTGCAGCTTTCCGCTGGCTAGAGAACACGACACACACACACACACACACACACACACACACACACACACACACACACATTATGATTGTAACTGACTCAGAAAGCATGCTGAGGAAAATCAGAACAGGTATGCTTTGTACAGAGTGGTATGCTTCGCTGCGGAGGACACGGGTGAGGAGTATTGTCTGGATGTTTTCACCGGGGTTGCCGGTGTGTTGGGAAATTAAAAGGAGGGCAGACTGGCTGGCTCTGCACAACTTGGTGGAATACTGATACATGATAAGGCAGACGTGGTTAGTGCCTTGTGGAAGAGCGTGTACAGTTCGGAGGAGCAGATGGATCACCACAGTCTGGTGAGATTGATGCAGCGGGGACTGACGCAAGGTTCTGGCAGATGCTCGAGGCTCAGAGGGAAGGAAAGACGGACGTTTAATCAGAATGCCTACTGGCACCATTAGTATCGGAACTCTTCAATGGCTGCTGAAGATGGGGACGGAGCGCTTATGAGAATGCCCCGCGTGATGTGATGTCGGATCTTGAATCAAATCAAATCAAATCATTGCAATCGGGTTTCCCCATATTTGCTGCGTTCCTGTGACAGTGCGAATCAAATGAAACGTCCCTTGTCGCATTTGAAAAACTGGTGAACAAAAAAATAGTCCCGGAACAATCCAGAAATATGTGCAAGCAGTAAATTCAGTTGCTAGAGACGCCAAAGTCAACAAACTTTACCAGAAATGCAGTTTGTCGTTGATGGAAGTAGTCGGACACGATAAGTTGGTTATTATACACACGTAGAATTATTTCATAAGGTATTTCACCACCTTACACGTAAACCGGCTACAGGTCATATTAAATACCATAACACATCCGCTCCACAAACGAAAGGCATTCCACAAGAAAAACACAGCTCACAGGGCTGCAACCAAGCACTAAACTCAGTAGCTGAGGCAGCGAAACCGCAGGCAACTGTCCTTGTGTGGAAACTGCATTAGCAAAGCGCTGTCGGAAGCAAAAATAACTTCAAAGCTTAACATATCGCCATGCATTTCCTCCATTTTGGCCGAAAGTCTCTTAATTACTTTTAGAACACAGCTAGTTTCGCAGTCCTACTGCAGTTCAAATTAGGTTCGTATGTGAGAAACAAATAGTACACAAATCTTCACCAATTCTCAGGATACATGTGCAGTGAACAGTCAAAGTTCGAGCGGCTAATGACGTGAGGAGTGTCGCCAAGTTTATGTCTCCCCACGACGTAAACCTACTTTTGGTGTTGGTTTTCTCATCCTCCACTGATTTTCCTTCCTCCAGGATAGTCCATTCAAGTTTCAAGTGAAAGCAAAATGGCGACGTCACGTTGGAACCTGGGTCACGTCCGATCAGCATTCCGGCCACACTGACACCGATCACGTGTTTGGTAGCGCTGTTTCTATAAAAGGTCAGTATCTCAGCGTCTTTACAATATTGTCTATAAATGATCTAGGGCTAATGTTTAGGGTAGAAATGGTTCGGTTAACTGTCAGCACCAAACAACACCGACGGTTGATGAATATAGGAAGCCCAACTATCACTCTCTGTGTTTGCACATTTTACATTTGGCCAGATTCTACTATATAAATCTGGCTTGCCCAGAAGACCCTTCAACTATGTATATAACATAACAGAACAACATAACCCTTCACCCGTTAGGCTCGTGGAGGTGTATCGATGGAATCACTAGCACATAAAACCCGCTTTTCTCTGTCTTCCGCTTGGGGAATAAGTGTATGATAACTTAGTCCAGTCTATTTCTTGATGTGATCATTCCAGATTCTCCTTTGCCTTCCCTTTCTTCGACGACCCCCAATATTCCTTAAAGCACAGAATTTCCAATCGAATCATGTCTCATCATTTCTCTGCTAACAACGACCAGATAAAAACATCAGGGCCGAAGGGTTGCGATATTCATAGTACCGAGTCGCAGAGAGAGCTTGAACTCTACGTTGGTGGGAAAGGGGGGGGGTGGGGGTGGGGTGTACTCAAGTGTAAAGCCTAACTGAGCACAAAGCACTGGGGTTGGTCAATGATGCAAATCTTTCCGTCACCTCTCATGTACAAGCACTTGTAAAAGAAAAAACCCAGCTAAAAAGGTTTTACCAACTTGCAAAAATTAAAGACTTTTCTGATGAAAACATAAAAAAGATATTTTATATTTCTCACACCCAGACAAATATATAGACTATTGCTTTACAATATGGGATGGCTGTTCCAGTTCTGTTATCAAGCAGCTCAAATCACTGCAAAAGCGTGCCATTCGCTTAATTAGTAACACAAGAGCATCATTTTGCCAGTTCTTCTTTATGGAGCGGAATGCTGGACAATGACCAAAAAGGTGCACACAAGCTGTCCACCTTCCACCTGGACAATGACCAAAAAGGTGCACACAAGCTGTCCACCTTCCACCACACATGTCTACGTAGAATTATCAAAATTTTCTGGCCAGATACAAGCTCAAACACTAAACTACTTCAAGTAACAAACCAAGAAACTCTAGACAAAATGATTGCCAAGGGAAGATAGAAATGGCTTGGCCACGTTATGAGAATGACTTCTGATATACCTGCCAAAACAGCTCTCACATGGACACCGGAGGAAAAGAGAAAACAAGGGCGCCCAAAAACAACATGAAGACGAATGATGGAGAGTGACCTGAATGCGGCATCTCTGACATGGAAAACTGCACTGAAGATTACACAGGACAGGAAAGCATGGAAAGTCCTCTCTGAAGCCTCATGTGCCACTAGGCATACCGAGAACTGATGATGATGATGTTGATGGGACAGTGAGTTCCAAAACATATAAAGGTCTTATGCTACTACCGCTTCGTGAACGTCTACTTATCAATAAAACACAATTTATTCACAAAAAATTATCCCAAAAAGCTCCATGTTACTTATGGCCGTTGTTTAAATATAATGGAAGGCACAGTAAACGCCTAAACATATTTATAGGTTGCGTATCCTTTGCAGGACGTTGCAGAACCAACCCCACCAGCTGTTGTGTGGTTTTTCTAGGCAAATACACGTCCAGTAGTTTGCCATTATTTACTGGACGGTCGGCTTTCTTGATACCACTGTCGAAACCAACGCAAGGCGCATGGCCCACAGCTGGGATCAAACCCGGCATCCCGGCATTATGAAGCGTTCGGATCGACTTAGCCACAGAGCCGACTCCTAAACATATTACACATCCCTAAACCTAGGATTGACCTATACAAAACAAGTTTGACGTACTCTGCAGCTCAGTTGTGAAACTATCTGCCATAACAAAAAGAAAGTACCACTAGTCCCTATACATACAATCGGAAACTTTGAATATTATCTGAGCACAGATTATACGCTCCCGTAGAAAACAATGAACACAATGTTGAGTATTTTGAGCTTTCCTTAAATTTACGGTTTACTGTAGTTAGAAATGTGCACATTCCAGTGCTGGTATTGAATATTTTAAAGCTATTGATAATGTTTAATATTGCGTGATTTATGAATAAAATGATGTACGAACGGAGGGAGACCTCTAGGGGCAGAATGTTGGACGGGCCTGCGTGCCAAAGTCTTAACCCTTTAAAAATAAAGTTAGTTCGTTCGTTCGTTCGTTCACCACTGCCAAGAGAGGCTCCTGATGTCCCGCAAATTTTTATATTTTGCCTTTGACATATTTGTTAGTTTTGTTTAATATAACTAATTCGTAGAGTGTGTACTATGTATATACCTGTGATGGAAGTGCATTGTTAATTATTGCACAGTAAGTACTTCGCCTACGTCGACCGCCCAGCCCCTACTTGTGCATCTCTTGGAAATTTGTGGTTAAAGAGTTTAGACATGCCAAACTGGCAACTACTGTATGTATGACTTGTTGCTAAAGACTCGGTGTGGCCAAATAGAATCATGGTCTGAGGTTGAAAAGCTAATGCACCGTTCTGTAGTCCATCGTCGGCGACCGGGCCGCTCATTAGTTGGTCGGTAGACGACCTCGTCGCCGGTCGGGGCAGTATTTGGGTCTGTCACCTTTGAGCGCATCAATACTCCAGGGATCCTTTCTTAGGGCTTTTGGTGGCATGCGATGCTAAGCATTTTTTATGGCGCACATAACCTAGTAATAATTATAACCTAAAGCTCCTGTTTCGGGGATGCTGGCTGAATGTGACAATTTTTTTTAAAGCAAAGCAACGAAACGGTCCTGACGTTTGCTTCACAAATGGGTCATCCCCATGTGCGATACAATTAATCATTATTTGGAGCCCTACCTTGGCTTCTGCCTGGGATCCTGAATATAGCCGAGTCATAATTATGACCTAACGGCTGAAAGGGGTTTCTGTGACCTCTCCACGGGTGATCCTCGTCCGCTTTGTGTCACTTTGTGTCACCAGGTGTTTATCGCTTGTGTGATGTCCTGGTTGTGTACGACTAGAAAGAGAGAGAGAGAGATAGAGATAGAGAGAGAGAGTGAGAGAGAGAGAGATGAGAGCGAGACGGCATCGGCTATATGTGGGCATGGATAGTGGGCATAAGCAAAGAAGAGCCTCAGTGCAGTAACAGGAGTGTATTGTATAGACTGTGTGTTAGATGTGTGGTGATGGAGGAGTGGGTCATTTAATGTTGGATGTGTGGTCATGGAGGAGTGGGTCATTGCATGTATTATATGTGGTGATGGATGAGTGGATCAGTGAATGTTGGACGTATGGTGATGGATGAGTGGACCAGTGAATGTTGGATGTGTGGTGATAGAGGAGTGGGTCAGTGAATGTTGGATGTGTGGTGATGGAGGAGTGGGTCATTGCACGTTGTATATGTGGTGATGGATGAGTGGATCAGTGAATGTTGGATGTGTGGTGATGGAGGAGTGTGTCAGTGAATGTTGGATGTGAGGTGATGGATGAGTGGGTCAGTGAATGTTGGATGTGAGGTGAAGGAGGAGTGGGTCTGTTAATGTAGGATGTGTGGTGATGGATGGGTGGGTGGGTCAGTGAATGTTGGATGTGTAATTACGAGCAGCCTCTAGTTTTGTTGTATACCCACACAGGTGACCACTTCCAGTGTCAGCCGGACAGTCACTACTGGACGTGCTGTGGCAAGATGACCTACAACTCGGAATGCGTGGCCGGTGGGACCAGGCGCTCTCCAGTTCACCAAGCCACCTTCTGACTTATACAGTAAATACGGTGGAAACAGATGACCATTCGATGACCGGAAACAGATGACCCCTTGATGACCGGAAAAATATGACCACTGGATGACCGGAAACAGACGACCACTTGATGACCGGGAAAAGATGACTGCTCAATTACAAGAAACAGACGACCACTTAATGACCGGAAACAGATGACCACTAGATGACTGGAAACAGATGACCACTTGATGATCAGAAACAGCCAATCACTTGATAACCAGAAACAGATGACCTCTAGATGAACGGAAACAGATGACCACTCGATGACCAGAAACAGATGACCGCAGCATAGGGCTATTATTACTGCTGACCACATCCGGAAATCTGGTCTCCTGGGGACTGTAGATTTACTTCTGATGTTGTGATTATGATCATTGTTACTTCTTCTTCTTCTTTCGTTCGCTTAAAATAAATGATCTATATCTGCAATGTTGTCTCTAGCATGAACTTCACTGTCTTTTGTCATTCACTCAGCGACCCGTAAAGTTTGACTTGCACTGGTGTTTCTCTTGGCCCAAAAGTTTTGCCTTGATATGTTGTATCTGGGACAGTCTTGGAGGACATGATCTGTTTGTCTCAGGTGCTAGTCCACATGTGCACATGGCTGATTCAACGATTTGAAATGTTGTGTACATGTGGCTGCGAAATCGAGTGTGTCCTCTTCTAAAGCGTTAAAAAAAAAAAAAAAATAACTTGCCCTTTTCTGTCCATTAAATGCTAATCGTCTTGTGTCGGTTTTGGTGGCTTTCGGATTGATGTGATTATTCTCTTCTTTGGCTGATAAGAGACTGCTACGTCAGGTTTTTCTTGGCGTTACTATGGTATTATTCTTGTTACTATTGCCACGATTTGCAGGAATTAAAAACAAATATGTAGGTAATCCAGGTACTCACCACAAAATGTTTTATAAAAGGTCCTGGTACCGCAGAAGAACCCCAGCTTGTTACTATAAATAATAGAAGTTAACAGCTAACCTGACAATCGTAAAATGAAGTTATTTTTTGCTGTTTACCAGAAATCAGTCATGCATGAGAAATTTTTAGCCATGAGAATGATCGCACACACAAAAAAGCCATCTCTTTCCCAGATTGTGTTTGCCTGAAAGTGTCTGAGTGGTGGCTAAAAGTGTTTGAGCATTGGCTAAAAGTGTTCGAGTAGTGGTTAAAGAGTTCCAGTAGTGGCTAAAAGTGTTCCAGTAGTGGCTAAAAGTGTTCCAGTAGTGGCTAAAAGTGTTCCAGTAGTGGCTAAAAGTGTTCCAGTAGTGGCTAAAAGTGTTGGAGTAGTGGCTAATGATGCTCGAGCAGTCGCTAAACGAGTTCGAGTAGTCCATTTCTTTCTTTGATTGTGTGTTGCTAAAAGTGTTCCAGTAGTCCTCTGATAACGAATGGGCTTGTGAATACCTTATGTGATAATTCTACGTGTGTACAACCAACTCATCTTGCGCCTGTCTACTTCCATCAACGACAAGCACAATATTTGGTGGCGACTGTTAGTTTTGGCGCCTCTAGCAACTGTTATATTCATCAGCGCGTGGATATTTCTAAATTGTTTCGGGACTTATTATTTGTTCACCAGTTTTTTAAATGACATACTGAGCGACATTTCATTCCGCTGGCTTGAGAATCAGCTGTACACACATGCCGTGATTGTAACATGACTCACAAAGCATATTGAGAAAGGTGGAGACAGGTATGCTCCGTGCAGAGTGGCAAGCATCACTTCAGAGGTCCCGGGTAGTTAACATCGTTTAGATATTCTCTCCAGGTCATACCAGCTGGTTGGGAAATTAGCAGGCAGATAGACTGGCCGGTTCTGCACCACTTGTTAGTAAACTGATGTATGACAAGCTAGATTTTGTGAGAGCCCTCTGGGAGGGAGTGAGCAGCATGGAAGCGCCAAGAGATCATTACGGTCTTAGGAGAATGGCGCTGCGGGAAGTCACCAGGGAACCTGGCAGACGTTCAACACTCAAGGGAAGGGCGAGATGGATATGCAGTCAGACATTTACTGGGGTCATCGGAATTGGAACTCTTCGTTTGATGAGGAAGGTGCGCTATGGGAGTGTCCCGAGCACAGTGATGTCGATTCTTAATTCAACATTCAACATTCATTTGATTTTCCAGAGCGGGTATGGGAAACCCCGATTGCAGTTAAACTGGAACATTGACTAGGACTATGACTAAGATTGATTAAACGTGTTCAGTTTGTCTTCTTATTATGTTTGATCAGTTAAATATAGTCAGGTTGTTCACTGATTATGTTTGACTGACCAAACATGTTTAAATTGTCCCCTGATTATGATTGATTTAGTTATTAGTAATTTACATGGCTTTGTTGGTTGATATAAAACGAACTTTATCATCAGCTTGATAACTGAGCTGTTTATTCAACCCTGTACGAACAGATCACACGTCAACATATCAGATCCTTTCACTAAACACATCAACATGTCAGATGTCTCTCCCTGTTTGTGGTGTCTGTCTGTTGGTTCTTCTCTACCTCAGAGGTACAGCTCCGACCAAGTCTGTCTAAGAATCCTCAGACAAGTCCTCGAATGCTCGTCTCTGGAGCTCCAAGTCTCTCTTTAGCTCCTCCTGCACAAGACAAACACAGATTCTTCCTCTTTTTCACTAGTGCTATTTTCTAATGCTTTTAGACATATGATATGATACAGAACTGTGGGAGAAAACAGGCAGACATAATACAGATTTGTGGTGGTAAACAGGCAGATATGATGCAGCTAGTGTGTAAGTAAACAGGCAGATATGATGCAGTTAGTGTGTAAGTAAACAGGCAGACATGACCCAGTAGTGTGAAAGTAAACAGGCAGACATGACCCAGTAGTGTTTAATTAAACAGGCAGACATGACCCAGTAGTGTGTAAGTAAAACAGGCAGACATGACCCAGTAGTGTATAAGTAAAAACAGGCAGACATGACCCAGTAGTGTGTAAGTAAAACAGGCAGACATGACCCAGTAGTGTGTAAGTAAAACAGGCAGACATGACCCAGTAGTGTATAAGTAAAAACAGGCAGACATGACCCAGTAGTGTTAAAGTAAAACAGGCAGACATGACCCAGTAGTGTATAAGTAAAACAGGCAGACATGACCCAGTAGTGTATAAGTAAAACAGGCAGACATGACCCAGTAGTGTATAAGTAAAACAGGCAGACATGACGTAGTAGTGTTTAAGTAAACAGGCAGACATGACCCAGTAGTGTTAAAGTAAACAGGCAGACATGACGCAGTAGTGTATAAGTAAAACAGGTGTGTCGGATACAGTAGTGCAGGGCTATTCAACCAAGTTGACTCACGGGCCAAAAACATTTTGAAAATGGGGATCGCCAAAGGCCAGCGGCGTGATCCTCACCACAGAAAAATCGTTATTACAATACACCTGACTATTATATGCAGGCTACTTGCCAAGCCTCCGCTGACCACATTTGTCCCGCGAACCACCAGTTGAATAGCCCTGCAGCCACATGTAAGTTAACAGTCAGGGTCCTGTAGTGTTAAGTAAACTCCCAGGTAGGGTCCTGTAGTGTTTAAGTAAACTGGCAGGTAGGGTACTGTAGTGTTTAAGTAAACAGGCAGGTAGGGTACTGTAGTGTTTAAGTAAACAGGCAGGTAGGGTACTGTAGTGTTTAAGTAAACAGGCAGGTAGGGTACTGTAGTGTTTAAGTAAACTGGCAGGTAGGGTACTGTAGTGTTTAAGTAAACAGGCAGGTAGGGTACTGTAGTGTTTAAGTAAACTCCCAGGTAGGGTCCTGTAGTGTTTAAGTAAACTGGCAGGTAGGGTACTGTAGTGTTTAAGTAAACTCCCAGGTAGGGTCCTGTAGTGTTTAAGTAAACTGGCAGGTAGGGTACTGTAGTGTTTAAGTAAACTCCCAGGTAGGGTACTGTAGTGTTTAAGTAAACAGGCAGGTAGGGTACTGTAGTGTTTAAGTAAACTCCCAGGTAGGGTCCTGTAGTGTTTAAGTAAACTGGCAGGTAGGGTACTGTAGTGTTTAAGTAAACTCCCAGGTAGGGTCCTGTAGTGTTTAAGTAAACTGGCAGGTAGGGTACTGTAGTGTTTAAGTAAACTCCCAGGTAGGGTCCTGTAATGTTTAAGTAAACTCCCAGGTAGGGTCCTGTAGTGTTTAAGTAAACAGCAGGTAGGGTCCTGTAGTGTTTAAGTAAACACCCAGGTAGGGTCCTGTAGTGTTTAAGTAAACTGGCAGGTAGGGTACAGTAGTGTTTAAGTAAACTCCCAGGTAGGGTCCTGTAGTGTTTAAGTAAACAGCAGGTAGGGTCCTGTAGTGTTTAAGTAAACAGCAGGTAGGGTCCTGTAGTGTTTAAGTAAACAGCAGGTAGGGTCCTGTAGTGTTTAAGTAAACAGCAGGTAGGGTCCTGTAGTGTTTAAGTAAACAGCAGGTAGGGTCCTGTAGTGTTTAAGTAAACAGCAGGTAGGGTCCTGTAGTGTTTAAGTAAACAGCAGGTAGGGTCCTGCAGTGTTTAAGTAAACTGGCAGGTAGGGTACTGTAGTGTTTAAGTAAACAGACTGGTAGGGTACTGTAGTGTTTCAGTAAACAGCAGGTAGGGTACTGTAGTTTAAGTAAACAGGCAGGTAGGGTACTGTAGTGTTTAAGTAAACTCCCAGGTAGGGTACTGTAGTGTTTAAGTAAACAGACTGGTAGGGTACTGTAGTGTTTAAGTAAACAGGCAGGTAGGGTCATGGAGTGTTTAAGTAAACTGGCAGGAAGGGTAGTGTAGTGTTTAAGTAAACTGGCATGTAGGGTACTATAGTGTTTAAGTAAACAGGCAGGTAGGGTACTGTAGTGTTTAAGTAAACTGGCAAGTAGGGTACTGTGGTGTTCAAGTAAACAGGAAGACGTGCAGAAAAGCAGATGGGTAGCTTAGGAAATAAGGAAATATCTATGTGTAAAAAAAGTAAGCAGAGAAGAGATGTTTAGAAAGACCAGAAGGATTGACTGTT